GTATATGCATCAGAAAAAATTATAAAAATGGAGAATTTTCATTTTTTAAAATTTTTACTAAAAATTGGCTTGTGACACTGTACTATAGTGCAAGGATTTTTGCTCAATTTTGGAGCTACTTTAAAAATTTGTAAAAATTCCAAATTTGATTATAATCAGCTCACAATTTATACACAACATAAGAACATGTATATGCATCAAGAAAAGTTCTAAAAGTGGAGGATTCTCATCATTTTATTTTTTATGTGCTATAATCTGGCCCGAATTTTGAGTAACTTTAAAAATTCATAAAAAATCTAATTTTTATTGGAATCAGCTCAAACTTGTTACACAACATGAGAATATGTATACGTATCAAAAAATAATAAAAATTAAGAATTCTCTCCTAGTCATTTTTGATGAATCGTTGCTATCATTATTAATTGCAGCTGGTTCACTGTATGCTCAGTCAGTTCAGTTTGAGGTTCATAAAGGAATTGAAGGTACTAATGATATACTGTCAGCAGTGGTACCTCAAGAATTAAGAGGAAGGAGTGAAGTAGTTATATTCCTAGCAGACAGACCTATTAAAGGTAATGGTATGTCACATGACTATCACATGATTGTACATGTCATCTATGTGTACATGTTGATGTGGTTTTTGTTCCAGAGGTTGTTTCTCTTGATTCTTTGTTGCCGTCTTGTTTCATTGAGCTTCATAAGCAACAGTTGACGTTAACTCCATGGGAGCAGATACTTAAATCAGCTCAAAATGTGCTCTTCAATGAAGAACTGTTTGCACAGGTATAATACTGTACTATAATAATTAATGTATTTGTATTAATTTGGTTTAGATTGTACAATCATTTGTGATGAGGAACTTGTATTATATAATGTGAAACTGCACAAGAGGAAAGGTTAGAGAGATGTAACAAGATTACTAGAATATACAAAGTTTTACTAGGTCATGACTAGTGGGTGGGTCATTGAACCTTATCACTATAAAGAAAAACTACTCACACAAGTCATGTATCTTGTGCAGGGGGTGTGGTTGTGGGTGGAGTCAAAGATGATGTACATTGAATAGGTTGATATAGGAGGAGTACCAGCAAAACTAGTTAATATTGTGTCAAGACATCAGCCATTAGCAGTGGCATATTACATGATTATTTAGAAACACTAAAACAACTAGTTATACTAGAAAGGGAGGTAATTGTGTGTGTGTGTGAAATAGTGGGTGACAACCACATTTATACAATACATTGTACATAATATCAATAGTTCACTGCAATTTATAAAATGACAACATTAGTATTTTGTTATACATTTATTCATACAGTCAGCAACATAAATATATCCATCCTTATCCAGTGCTATACCAAAAGGATTAGATAATCCTGAGATTAATTTGACTTGTTTCCCATCAGGACTCAATGCATAAACACAAACATCATTATACCTGTAAGTCAATACTAAGATATGTCCATCATCATCAATAGCAACTCCATGAAGATAACCAGAGCCACTATGAGGATTATTGTACGTATGAAGATGAGTTTTACCATCAGGAGAGAAGATTTTAATATGATTCTGATAAATGGTAATGTGTATCTTTCCTTCATTATCAACTGCTACATCAGTTGCTTGACCATCACATTGTATGACTTGTACAAATGTACCATCTTCTTTAAACACTTGTACTCTATTGTTGTTATAATCAGCTACTAATATATTACCTTTACCATCAGTAGACATACCAAAAGAACGAGAGAATTGTCCATTTCCATTACCATTACTACCAAACTGACCAATATACTGACCAGTAGTAGCTGAGAAATACTGCACACGATTAAGACTATCATCAGACACATAGAGCCTGTCTCCTACCAGCAATAAACCCCAAGGCCTATCAAACTGTCCATTACCATTACCTTTAGATCCAATCCTTCTTACTGCAGTACCATCCTCACTAAATACCTGAACAAACCCATCCCAACTACCAGCAAATACTTCACCATTAGTATGAACAGCAACACCATAAGTATTGCTCCCCACATTAAAGGATCTTTGGTTAGTTAGTGTGGTATAGTCTCTTGATGCTTTTACTGACAGTTGATAAGGACTACCTTTAATATGGTGACCTCTTATAGTCACTGATAGTTCATATCCACCAATACTTTGAGGTGTGCATGATACAATGGCTGTGTTGTTATCATTAACTATAACAACTCTACCCTCCTCTTTACTACCATCACTTTTGATAAAGGAACCCTTCAAATAGCTTGCTGCTTTATCAATGCCTGCTGGTAGAGCCACTTTGAATTTCCTTTCTTTCTTTACTGTTGCCAATGGAATAGCTAACCCACTATCAATAGAGTATGCAGCTGGATCTATATAAACCCCAAACACGCTGCCATAATTATGGATTTCATTGCTCATGGTTGAGGCTGCAAGACATGTCCAAATCACTTGATTCTCTTCTATTTCTAGAGGTAGTTTCTTATACTCTTCAATGCATTCCTCTAGTTGATTGGTGATTAGCTTCTTAACACTCAGAACTTCACCTGGATCAGTACGCTCACTCACTGATGATGCAAAATGACGACCATGAGAAACCTGTTTTACCAGTTTACGAAACCCATCCAACTGCTTCTCGACAGAATTCCTCTTAGCACTAGCAATCTCTTCTGTCTCCATTAGTAGATCATTGCATCTCTTATCTAAAGCAACTTTAAGCTCTTCAAACGTTTCCTTGATTTCCTGCCTTACTTCTTCTTTACGTGTTGCTATCTGCTCTAGCATCTTCTCTCCATTAGCAATAGCTTCAGTGACTGGAGGAATGACTTCATCACAACTAGCAACACTTTCCTTTAATGCTTTACGTGCTATGTCACCTTCATCCAGGTAATCATTGTAATTGTGGGTTTTATGCTTAACGTTAAGGCAAATTTGACAAACCAGTTTATTGCAATCGTTGCAATAGTACATCAGCTTTTGGTCCAAATGTCGTGCACAGTAAACTGCCTCATGCTTGACAGTAGGCAATTCAATAGATTCCTTTGTTTCCAAATCGATCAACTTGTGATTTGTTTCTTTCTTGCCTCGTTTATGAACTTTTTTGCAAAGATCACACAGAAACTGCCCACAATCACAGCAATACACGACAGCTGTATCACTGGAATCATCAACGCTACATTTATCACATGATACTGCTTCCTTGTTGATGATCTTCTTTTTGATCAAAGCCTCTTTTGATTTATGTTCAAACCAAAGGTTTTGAGTGAGGCCTTCAATTTTACCATCAGGTAAATTAACGCTAGTGTCACATGTTGGACACTTTAATGAGGTATCAGCACTACCTTGCTTCTCTTTAGCTTTTATTAGACACTTCTTACAGAATGAGTGAAGACAGGGAAGCATGAGGGGGTCAGTGTAATACTCTGAACAAACCTCACAAGTCATAGTGATACCTGGACTTGTGTTTTCTGCCATTTTCTATGAAGAAAATAAATCATCACAATACCACTGACTGAGGTATGTTACTTTTAAGAAGTGTTCTTAGTCAAAAAGCAAGAGAATAGGTGAAAAAGAACTGTAACGAGACAAAAGAGAGACTCCTCCACAGCAATGCACGGATGCAAATTTGCAAAAGATCAAAAGTGGGATGGTTTGATCTGCCCACAAGTCACACATGGCGTCCAATGGTGATGCTGGTTTCAAGGTCTCAGTGGAATCACTCCATACTACAAGAGTCAAGGAGATCAACTATGATGGAGAAGAGATATATGAAGGGTAACAGTCATTTGTTATAATAATACAGAATGTAATTCTAGTTGAATATGCCCACTAATTTAATTTATACATTGCAAATTTAAGTTTATATAAGTTGGGAATTCTAAACTAAATACCTTAAGGAGACAATTGTTAGTAGTTATTTAATTTAGCAAATTTTAACAATGTTAAAGAAATTGCTAACTTTAGTCTTCGCTAACTTTAATTTCTGATTAAATTATTAATAGTTATTAGTATTATTTATTATAAAAAAAACGCTACCTTTAAAACCAGCTGAATGTCAGTATCATAAAAATTGCTAAAATAAGTACATACTAATAATTGCCTCGTTAAGGTAATTAATAGCATTACAATAGGTGCTTGTAAGTTGTAACATCCAAATGATACTGTAGTTTGCCATTAAATATATTATGTATTTCTTTGTAGAAGACCTTCTCTCTCTCAGAAACTAAGTGAATTAGCTCAACATGTTGACTTTAGAGAAGAGAGAGCTGATGACGATAATGACAGAGAAGAAGGAAAGAAGAAACAAGAGGAGGAGGAGGAGGAGGGAGTTTCTGGTCCTACAACTAAGAAACCAAGTCATCGCTGGCCATGGGAATTCACACACTCAAAACTCAAGTACATAAATACATGAATTTGTATAAACAAGAGTATAAATCATGTATCAATGTATTGCATACATAAAGGATAGTTAAACTTTATTATTAGTTTTGTGTTTATTGCAGGCAAGCATTGACTGAAGTTAGTATACTGTCTGATGTGTTACAAATTGTTCATAATCATCATCAATACTTGTCACTGGATCCAGTTTATGTTAATAAGAAATACACATTACCTCCTTCATATCAATACCAAATTAAAAA